GAATTTCAGAATATTTTATAAAAATCAGTAACTTGTTTATCTCTTGATTTTTATATTAATTTTAAATATATAATGGTTAAATATGTTTTAATTTTTAGCTTTTTGCACTGACTCCTCCTCTCTCAGACTAAGTACTCTCCACCTGGTCAAGAATCACATGGCTGTTCACTATAATAAAATCCTTTCAGCCAAAGGTAAAAATGTGCAAATGTGAACTTTCAGTACCCAATTTAAATCCGTGACTTCACTTCTAATTAGAATAAATCTGTAGGAAAAATTAATACATTATAATAGTTATATTTGTGTTTAGTGTAGCAAGATATCAGCTACTGACTCTAATGTTAAATACATAGCAAATTCAGGATGCCATTTTTGTTAACTGTATTTGAAATCTGTATAGTGCTTATGTTATTTCTTTTTTACCTGTGTTATCCCTAATATTATTTTGTGTTTAGATATTGATTTTAATTTAATAAAAGTTTATAATCTACTTTTTTGTTTTCAAATGTACTAAAGTTGTACAAAGAAGATGCTAGATAATCTCTTTTTCTTTTTTGGCCAGCTTTATTGAGCTATAACTTACCTTCAACAAAATGCAGTAATTTTAAGTGTACAGTTAAATATTTTTAAAAATATATACATTTGTATAACCACCACCACAATCATGCTACAAAACAAGAATCCGTGAACTACAGCTTACAGGCCAAACCCTCCTGCTGCTTGTTTTTGTACAGCTTGCGAAGTAAGAATGGGGTTTGTATTTTTAAATGGTTGGGAAAAATCCAAAGAACAGCACTTTGTAACATGTGAAAGTTTTATGAAATTCAAACTTCGTTGTCCATAAATAAACACAATCTTTTATGTATTGTCTATAATGGCTTTTGCTCTAACGGGCAGAGTTGACTAGTTGTGGCACAGACTGTATCACCCTGCAGAGCCCGAAACATTTACTTATCTGACTTCTTACAGACAAAGGTCACTGACCCCTGATAGAGAACATCCATTACTCCAGAAAGTTCCCTGTAGTCTTCTGCAATCAATCTCCCCCCTGCCTGCCCTGGCAAACCACTGTTCTGCCTTCTGTCACTATAGTTTTGCCTTTCTCACAATTTCACATAAGTGGAATCATATAATATGTATTGTTTTAGCTCTGGCTTCTTTCACTTAGCTACCATGTTTGAGACTAATCCATATTCTTGTGTGTAGCAGTATTTTTTTTATTCTAAGGTAGTATTCCATATAATTAATACTTCACAATTTATTGATTTAACAATTGGTGGACATTTGGATTATTTTGACTCACTTTTGGCTATTAGGAATAAAGCTACTCTAAACATTTGCATACAGTCTTTGAACATATGCTTCTATTTCACTCAGATAAATTTATTTACTAGGAGTGGAATTGTGGGACAGTATGGTAAGTGTGTGTTTAACTTGATAAGACTGCCAAACTGTTTTCCAGACTGACTATACTATTTTGCATTTCCATCACTTTTATATCCTCATCAGCTCTTCCTATTGACAGTCCTTTTTCAGCTATTGTAGTGGATATCTGATAGTATATCATCAGGCTTTTAGTTTGTATTTCCCCAGTGCCTGATGATGTCCAACAACTTTGCTTGTGCTTATTTGCCATCTGTATATGTTCTTTGGTAAAATATCTGTTCAAATCTTTTGCCTGTTTTTTAAAATGAGTTGTCTGTCTTAGTATTAAGTTGTGAGTGTTCTATATATACAGGTCCTGTGTCAGATATATGTTTTACACATATTTTTTCCTAGTCTGTAACTTGTCTTTTCATTTTCTTTTAAAACTTTTTATTTGAAATAATTTTAGAGTTATAGGAAAGCTACAAAGATAGTACAGAGGGTCACAGAAACTCTTCACCCACTTTTCCCTGTTAAAATCGTACATAACCATATTACAATAATCAATATTGATACAATACTATTAACTACAGACCTTATTTGAATTTCACGTTTTTTCTCACTGTACTTTTTAAATTTTTATTTTCTCATTTGAAGGGCTAAAGTCTTTAAATTTTAGTTTATATTTTATGACATTTATATTTTAGATGACTAAAAATCTAAAGAAAAATAATATTTTGTGACATGTGAAATTACATTCAGCTTTTCAATTTTTAAATAGTTTATGCTTTTTATATCCTGTTTAAGAAACCTTTGCCTAATCTTAGTGACTAAGATTTTCTTACGTGTTTTCTTCTAGAAGTATAAGTTTCAGCTTGTACATTTAAGTTCGTGATTAATTTCGAATTAATTTTTGTGTATAGTGTGATATAAAGATCAGTTTTTGCCAATGGGGATTCAGGTATTCCCAAGACTATGTGATGAAGATACTG